CTTTTAAACTGTGTGTATTTAATTTAGTCATGCTAGTTATGATACTTTAGTTATGATGTAAATACAATAAAAATTAAACCAAGATTTAGAATAATTATCATTTTGATCCATACATTGGTAATGTGTGACTGGACCTCGTGTCACTTTATGTTCAACAAATTGGGCCCCGAGGTCAAAAAGGTTAAGAAGCCCTGGTTTAGACTTTGCATGTAAACCTGATGCCTCTGACACTGAAAACACATTTGGTGTGAACGCAGCATGAGATTCAACTAAGATCAGTTTAGTTGCAGACTTTTCATGTTCTGTAATTTTTATGTACAAAAATCTGCACACACTTCATAAATCCTAGTAATATTCCTGCTGTCAATCATTCTGTGTACAACACCCCCTAGGCCAAAACTTTAGGGGAAACACTGAAGTATGACAACAAAAACAGATGACAGCTGTGGTGAAGAAGAAGCTACAGACATTCATTTACTGGAAAATGAATGAAAGTTAAAAAAAAATAACACAAGATGAAGTCAGCAGCAGCACGTGCTTTGGCTTGTGATTGGTGGAAATACAACACGGCACTGGGCGGGGCCAAAAATCAACTTACCCACTCCCCCTTCACCTTCAGTGTGCACAGCAGAGGAGAGAGCACAGAGTTAATAGAGCCGGAGCTCCACACAGCTGCAGGTTCAGGAGGATGGACACAGACTCAGAAACAAAAACACACAGGACCGTGGTTCTACGCACCATGATGACGTCTCCAGGCTGGATACTGATTTCATCGTGACTACGAGCATCAAATGGATACAGAGCTCTGTAGTAGACCACCTTCACTGGCTGCTGCTGCTGATCGAAGCCACTGGTCGATGCTTTCTGCTCAAACAGACTGGGAACTGGACCTTTCTCCACTGCAAATTACAGAAAGAGAAATTACATTTCTAAACTGCAGCTGCATTAGTCAACATACCAACAAACAGGTTTCAGGTTGTAGCAGCTGGAGCTAAAGTTGACACATCAAATCAGTTTATTACTAGATTTATTATATTATATTTTTATATTATGTTGTACCAGGGACCTGGTTTTCTTGACCCCTGCAGTTAGGTCCACATCTATTTGAACAGAGACATTTTCCTAGTTTTGGTTCTGTATATTACTAGTGCTGGGTGGTGTAATGGTTCGTACCAAAAACTGAATATCAACTGAGCGGTTTAACAGCCTGAACATGTCCTGGAAGGTTACGCTGCTCCTGCCAGTGAACTGTTTCACAGGGGACACCGCTATTAGCATTATCAAGCTAAAGTTATGAAATAGTCACTGTATCAACTGTCAGATTACTTTTGGTGTGTTTAAAAGCAGGGTGGTCACATGTTAAGGAGCTGAACCCTTCATCCAGTTTTAATGTGGGTACCCCAGGGCTTCCCCTAGGATTTATTTGAACCGTGGCGGGGCTTTGTTCTGTTTACAAAGTTTAATACATACAAATGTTGTCAGTCAGCAGGTTGACAGTTTTAGGAGCTGCTTGAGTAAAACTTTCTCGTTCTCCTCCTCCTCTTTGAAACAGAGGTCAAAAATTAACATCCATAAGCTTTCTGCTACAGGTCAAACATTTTTATTTAAAGAGTTGTATACTGTCTACATGACCTTATTAAAGTTACAGTTTAGTGTTCTTAGGACTGAAGACTTTCTGAGGAAAGAAGTTTTTAAACATCTTTTCTATAATTTTAGTGTTTTCAACTGAGGAGCTTTGATATATTTATTTAAAATAAATTATAGCAGAGGAAGTTTTCTGCACAGAAAAAAAGTATTTATTTTACTGTTTTTTAACCAAACTGACAAGTTTCTGCAGTAAAATGATTGTGTAATTTAAAGGCATTGAAACACCTGGTTAAATTTAGAAGGTATTATGATACAAGCACCTGAAACTGACTCAGAACTCTGTGATTAAAAAAAAATTAAAGTCAAATGTAGACACGTCTTTAAAAGCCACTTGCACCTCCACCCTGCCCACGTGTGATTAATACAGATTTATTTATTTTTTTATGCAAATTACAGATTGTTGATGCTCATTATACAGGTCAACGTCTGAAGGGGTTGACATGTTTGAAGTCTTTGGTCCCAGACTGGTCGGAGCTGCGCTGCAGGTGGACAGGTTCAGCTGCTGCAGTCGCTGCACCTTGCTTTAATAACAGTCAGGTGATCTGTTGTGGTTTTGTTCTGCTCGTGAACACACAGTGTTATAGGGGAAATGCTGCGAGGTGCTTTTAGAAATATATATAAAATACGACGTAATCCTTGGTGGAAAACAGTCCAGGAACCTCTGAGGGAGGCGGGATCTGGTGTCGAAACAAAAGTCGGTTGTCTCAGACAACCTAAACTATGATTGCGTCGACCCCTGTTTTACATTGACAAATAAATAAAATTAAATTAAAATAAAAACTTCATTCTGGCTTTTATTTAGCCGTGGCGGAGCACCACAATCAATTACATGTAGGGGAAACCCTGTACCCTCACATGAAACTACAAGTCTGGACTGTGTTAATGTATATTATAGAACTATAACTTAAATATGTTTCAGTAAACAGGTAAAAAAACAAACTTGTGTCAGTGTCCAAATATACAGTATATGGTCCTAACTGTATCTAACCCTTAACACAAATGGGGTTTTGTCCTCAGAAGGGCAAAAATTGTCCTTATAAAGATAGTTTATTTAAGTGTGAGACATGGACACACACACACACACACACACACACACACACACACACACACACACAC